ATTTTTGGACTTCGTTCCCCAATTCTAGATGTTTTGAAGTTTTTGAGCAATTTATCTTTATTTACAAAAAAAAAATTAGGGCATAATTTGTTTCTAATTGCATTTCAAAATTCGACTGACGTAACTAAGGGTTGTCATTTTGAAATAAAGAGTGCAATGATATGAATAACGATATTGTGGACTTAACTTGCCTCGTTTTTAAACAGTAACATTCCACATAAAATCTTAGCCTCGGATGTAGGCTTAAAAATTTGTGCCTAAACTTGCATCGGTTTGCTGTCCTAGAATTCTTGCAATTTGTTGCTATTTTTCTGAGAAAATCAGAGTTTTGGTATTCTGATTTCGGCCCGTTTTGGACCGCTTCAGTCCCATATGGTAGATAACTAGATTTTTAGCCAATCATTACAATGGAAAAATAATTCAGGCCAATCAAAATTGAGTATTTAACAATCTCTTCAAACTTGATTGTTTCTTAAACTTGATCAAATTCAGAAAAATCATTTTTAAGGAGGCATACATTTCCAAACTTCCCGCAATGAATACGCTTTGGAAAAAACTCTGGATTACCGACATAAGTAAAACGTACACAAAACTTTAAAAAAATTCTCAAATCTGCACATATTATACTTGTTTTAACCGACTTTTATTTATTTATTTTGGCTTCTATTTGTGCATAAACTTTTCAATGAATCACAACTTCTACTGATTTTGATTAGTTGAAACTTTCCTCATTTGGTCGCTCCATCATGATTTTTGATGGAATAATTTAGAGTTTTGCATAATAACGCAAAAGATGTTTTTTTTTCTTGATTTAACCACAAGTTTTGAGGCCCACAACTGAAATTTTTTTTATCATAATCGGAAACCCCTGTCTTTCTCAGTTAATGATCAAATTACATTAAACCTAATAATGTTGCAAAGTTTTTAACTTATGAAAGTCACTATTGAATATTCTTTATTGCCAAACCTCTATAAATTTCAGAAACAAAATCGTACTGAAAGTTTTAAAATACATAATTGTGGAAGAGTTTTTCAATTGATTCGAACTGATTCTTGCAATTTATGAAAATTTTCAAAATTATATTTTTAAAGAATTTTTGTTTAAAAAGTTTCAAAAGAACACAAGACACTTTCAGCAGCAAACAAAAAAATAAAAAGCAAATAAGAAAATTTCAAAACCAAAACAAAACTATAATTCAATTTACTATAATTTATAAAAACCCTACAATTTATATACCTTAGTTTTTTAAATTTCAAGTGCAAAATTACTAATCATTTAAAAATGAGTATCTTGAAAGGTTATTAAATACGCAAACTCCACTTTTTAAGTTTCTTAGTTTTTTTATGAAACAAAAATCTAGTTTATTGCTGAACCATGTGTAGATCTTCTCGTGGTCTTCCTGTAAATGACCAGCAAAACTGCACTCCTAGCTAACTGAGCGCATTAAAACTGGTCTATGCGAAATTATTGCTATTTGCATCTACTTTTCAGTTTTGCAAGAAATGATTCCGACAAAAATCAGTTTATAGTTTCAGCTTCAAACTATGTGCTAAATGTTGTAATGGAAAATGATGCTTCAATTGCAAACAAAATTTTTTTCAAACAAGTGAAGCGGAGAACCTTGTTGAAAAAAGGCTGAAAAACCAAGCTGAACCGAAAATTTTGCATGTCTTGATGAAGGACAGGTAGAGGCAAGCAGATATTTTTTGAATTTGTTATACTGATGCGCGACGAAATGCGTGATTCCAAAAACTGGATTTTGCCCAAAACCAAAATAGTTTGTCTACTAAAATCATTGAGTGAAAATTTTGGAATATCTCTTATCAAAATTTAAGGAGTAGCAGCTGTTGCAGGAAAAATTGCGCAATCGCTTGATTCGATTGAATTTTTAAACTCAGATTTGATAGGGTACTTTTTAAGAAAATTCTAAAAAACTGTTCAATTTCAAAAATTTGACTTTCCTAAATCTGCATTTTTTTCCTGCTAAAAGTAGGTAGTGGCCGGTAAAGAAAAGAAGATTCCCAAAGTTGATTTTTTTCCATTGAACGCTTAAGCTGAGAACTAAGCGGTAATTTTCGAGTAAAAAAACTTCCAAAAAACCGTAAGAGATACAAAACTTTCACTTGTTTGTAGTCCATAACTTTTTTTGGACAAAACTGGGCTTAGAAACTTTTAAAGATAAGTTTTCGACAAACTGTTTTGTCGAATTAACCTATGATATCAAATTTAGCAGGATAGTTATCAAAATTTTTTTAAAAAACTGTCAACGAACCAGATAGTTAAAACTTCTAAAAGGCATAACTATATTTTTATAAAAATTGGGACTGGACGCTTATGCAATGAGGATTTACCTAACCTTTAATTTCAATTGAACCCATAACACAGGTTTGTTGGCATAGTAGTTCTCGAGAAAAGCTAAGAAAATTAAAAAAACGGTCAAAAAATTGTAGTATTTTAGTCTGCAAAGGGGCTTTCCACAACCCATTCTATGGATTGAACCCAAATTGCCAGATATGGGAGTGTTTTTTTTTGGTAAAATTTAGAAATTGTTTTTTTTTCCGACCACAATAACTTTTTATTTAAAAAATTTGTGAGTGGCCGCTCATCCAATATAGCTTCAGTTTATCCGTTTTTCCCATTAAAAGCACAACCTCAGGTTTGGAAGGTTAATTTTGATAAAAGTTTTAAGAAATTCAAAAAGACAGTCAAAAATTTCACTTTTCCGAGGGCCATAAAATTTTTGTGTCAAAACAATTTGGGTGTAATCGGGTATGCAAAGGTGTGTATTTTGTTGACAAAAATCAAGGAATATAGAAAAAAAAGCTCAAGAAAAGCTCAGAAATCAAAAAGATAGGGGAGTCTATTTTTCGGTGAAATTCATGAACTTAAAAAAAGCTTAAAAAAGCCATTTTCGAGGACCATGACTTATGCGTTAAAAAATGTGAACGCACGCTAATTCAGGAGAGTTTCCCATTATCCGTTATCACCGTTAAACCTACAATCTCAGGTATGGGTAGTTAGTTTTCGAGAAAATTCAAAAATATTCAAGAACTTCACTACTCCGAGGGCCATAAGTTTATCAGAAAAAAAGACCTTTTTGGCTTTGACGCTTACGGTGAGGCGCTTTTCAAATCCGCTTTTCGAAGTCATTGAAACAAAAATCTCAGATCTGAAAAAAAGGGGTCAACGAGCTCGAAGAAAGATAGAAAATATTTTTTTTTGGTACTTTTCCATTCTTTGAGTTCTGTCGTAATTTTTTTAGAAACTAACGTTCCGAAGTTTCTTTAAATGTATATAAGAGAAAACTTCTATCACAAAAAATAACAAGCCCAACGGTAGTCAGAAAATCAAACAAAATGAATTTCAATTGAGACATTCGAAGTGAGCTGAAATCACAAATTTGACACTTTGGACACTAGGCAATTAATTTAACGCCCAGAGGACAAAAATCTCACGCTTTCATTTACTAATCTGTCGATATGCCTCTTGACTATGCTTGCATTTTCACTGCTACTGCAGGTAGAGCAGTGGTACAAAATTGTGAAGAAGTTTGCCATGGATTTGAGTTGATCGAGGCTTTGCAAATACACTGATCTTTGCAGCAATTTGTTTTATCGCAGTTGCGAGGAAGGAATATCAAGCGAAGGAAGATGACTTTATGCGTACAAATTTCATAGTATGTTTGTTCAGCGGCCACTTTACAAGATTGACTATTTAAAGTTATCGCTGTCAATTTATCTTTTTAATTAACTTCTATTAATGCTTCTAATTTAACATCAACTTATTTATTGCTCAATAAACGCGTGTGATATCAAAACAAAAACTGAAGAACTTCGTCCCAAGAGGATTTAGTCCTATGAGGGGTTCAATACTCGGGGATTATATGCGGTGGGATTTCATCCTGCGGAATTTAGTCCGCAGAGGAATCAATTTTGATCGTAATTGAGCAATTCGAGGTTTTCTTTATGCTCGTTTGGTGTTTCATGTTCTCTGCGCGCTTATGCCAGTCCTAAAATTTAATCTTGATGTTAGTGCTAGAGGTTCGTATATACAATTTACAAAACTTACATTCAACCAATGCATCAATATAATAAGTTGATATTTGGAACTGCTACTAAAACTTAGGTTTTGAAGACAATTTTAAGTTTTGTTACATCAAGGAATTGCATATATGAGATAAACAGTCCTCCTTCAAACTGCACACCACTAAACTGTGTTAACACCTGCATAAAAAATGAAATATTGGAGTTAATAACTAAAACCATAAGACGGCAGCACCCATGCTTAATAATCAATAAAATAACCAGCAAACGAGAAATTTTTGACACATTCTCAAATACCAAACGAAAAATGACGAGCCACAAGAAAAAACTCAAAAAAAAGGGTTCGTTCATTATTTAATAATTTCTATGCATTAGACAAAAAAATTAATTGAGGACTCACTGAACTGTCTAAATAGTCAATTAAATTCAATTCTGCATCGCATACGAGATCTTTTCATTTGCGACAACGAGTTTTTGATGAAAGTTTTTTGTTAATAGAAATTCGACTGCATTCTTTGTTGTTTGCTTATGAAGACACCACGCGATAGGCAGCTAACTGGCCTTTTTTGGTGTTTTTCCAATATGGGATTTTTTATATTGTTTTGAGTTATGTTAACAATAATCAAGTATGTTCCCTTCTTGAAAACGAACTTATTATGACTATTAAGTTGCTGCATGATAAGCTATCAGCATTTAACATTTAAAAAAAATCTTGATGCACTAAGTTTCGTCAAATGTCAGTCAGGCCAATTTTGAACCAATATATTTTGTTTTAAGCCCAAAACAGCTGTGTTCAATTTTTTAGATTCAGATTCTGTTTTCATACCTGATAGTGAAAAAACATCTGACAACAGATTCAATTCGGAAAAACGAATTCAACATAACAGCCACAAAACTATCAACACCAGATATTGCAATTTAGAGCAAAATTTAAAAAAAAAAACAACCAGTTGAAAATCATACACTTGAAATAGTTGAACTTGTTGCAATGTTGTTTGAATTGATGAATAATTTTGCCTACAATTCGTAAATATCTAAGGCCAGTGGATATTCTTTTTCGGCAATAACGTCAATGATTTTTTCTGGCTGGCTCTCAGGTTCTGTAGTAATTGTTGAAACTAAAAGTTTCTCCTTTTGATTTTCCTTTGCTGTGATTGACCTGATCGAATCGGTGCTTCGGTTTGGACTCTCTTCTGCTGAATGCAATGACGACTCTTCTACACATATAGATTCAGTGGTTTCTGCTTTCCTTAAGGAGCGAGAAAGCTGCTCTGCATTATTCTGTGTGTCCCGGGTAAAAACCCCATTGCAGTGACTCATCATTGTTTTGGGTTTTCCTTGGATTATATTTGACGGTTGTTTCTCTTCGTGAATTACACTTACATGTTTTTTGAGACTGTTGGAGCGACTGAACCTTTGATGGCAGATGTGGCATTGGTATGGTTTCACACCCGTATGCGTCCTCAAGTGTCTATTACGATGAGAAGAGTGAGTGAATCTTTGACCACATACATCGCATGCAAATGGCTTCTCTCCAGTGTGAATGCGCTTGTGTATTTTAAGATGGCTTCTCTCTGTGAACCTTTGCACACATACATCGCATGCGAATGGCTTTTCTCCAGTGTGATACCTTTTGTGTGTTTTGAGATGATGAAGAAGTGAGAATCTATCTCCGCATATATCACACGCATAAGGCCTCTCACCAGTGTGAACTAATTTGTGTCTCTGTAGATGAGGTTGCTGGTTGAATGTCTTCTCGCATATTTCACATACAAATGGTCTCTCTCCTGTGTGAATTCGCATATGTTTTTCCAAATCTGCAGCACTGCTACATATCTTACCGCATATTTTGCATTCTTTATTACGCACACTCAGAGATTGCAGAGATCCCCTCAGTGAACTCTTCTGGCTCCTTATAGATCCTTTCTCTACATTCAAAATTTAACCTAATAAGAGATATAATTTTGAACAATGTTAGCTAAACACCTAGATACATCATAAATGTTACTCAATTGCAAAAAATAGAAATGAATACAGGGGCGGATTTAGGGGGGGGGCGGGGGGGGGGGGGCGGACGCCCCCCCCTCAGGGATTCGACCACCTGCCGACCCAAAGGGTCCCCCCTTTGGTACTTTTTAAGAAATCAAATTTTTGCCGACCGACCCTAAAAATTTTCTAAAGGCGCCTTCGGCGCTAATATATACTAGCTTTGAGGGGGAGCGCGCGCCAAAAAAACGCGATTTTTTTTGTCAAAATTTTTCAAAAAGTGCCTAAAAACGCCTTTTTTGACCTGTTTTTTCAAAAATTTGCCTGCGGCGCAAAAAATTTGGCCAAAATAGGGACAAAACTGTGCTTTGGGAGAGCTCGAAAAATCAATTTGGTCGACCTAAAAAAAAAAAAAAGGTCGTCAAAATTTTCGAAAATTTTTTGAAAATCCGCCCCCCCCTCGAGAAAATCCTAGATCCGCCCCTGAATGAATATCCCAATTTATGCTCTTGTAGATTTCAAAGATCTTGTTACAATCTGAATTACTGTGGTTATTATTGGAATTAATACAGTGCTGATTTAAATTAACCGGACAAAACGCGTTAAACTTGAAATTTAAAACGCGTTTTCTCAAATTAGGTTAAGTTTAGGTGAAAACTTATGAAGACAGGAGTTGCTTAAAATTTTTGCAGAATTAATATGGTGTAATTTGTTTTGCAAAATTCGGGCCCAAATTTATACCCCAAAAATGGGATTTTTTTCTTTTCTTAATTAATCAAAAATTACGCCAAAAAAACCCAGCCGATCACAGACATAATTATATCAAAGAAAACGCTTTACGTAGCCCAACAAACTTTAACAAGGGTTTATTCACCAAAACATTGTTTAAGTTAATTAATTTTTGTTTGATAGACAAAAAAGGTCGTTTTTACTATATAAAAACCAATTTTTTATTTAAAAACAATTTTTAAACGGATTGCAAATTTTTTTGAGAATATTCCCTTTTTAAAGTTTGTTGGGCTACGTAAGGCGCTCTTTTTGATATAATTATGTCTGTGATCGACAGGGTATTTTCAACGTAATTTTTGATTAACTAAGAAAAGCCAAAATGACCCATTTTTGGGGTAAAATTTTGGGCCCGAATTTTGCAAAACAAATTACATCATATTAATCCTGCAAAAATTTTAAGCAACTCCTGTCTTCATAAGTTTTCACCTAAACTTAACCTAATTTGAGAAAACGCGTTTTAAATTTCAAGTTTAACGCGTTTTGTCCGGTTAATTTAAATCCAGCACTGTACATCTGAAACTGAACTTATAAAAACCACTGATTGCCAGTTGGCAACCCCACCAGCTTAATGACGTGCATTATCGGTTGTGTACAAAAGAAGAAGCCCAAAGACTAAACAAATGAAAGCAAACTTCAAAAAATAAACATCAAAATATTTTCAGTTGACTTTGTTTCTTGATTTAGTTAGCAAACAAATAAATTACCAAGCACGCATTGCAAATAATTTGATATAGCTTTTATAAATTAAGATTTTTCAAGGCAGCAATTCAAAAAAAAATTGATGTGAAAAGAAATCGCACAAAGAAGGATCAACACGATTCAAAAAATTTATTAAAGCAGGTTATTCAAAATACAAAACACTAATAATTGAATTTGTTGGAACTTTGATGACGTGAACAGATTTGCAATACGTTTTTTTGAGTATTCACTTCATGTTATGAAGATTTGACAGACTTCATGCTGTTTTGGTAACTTGAACAGGATTGCAAAATCTATTACGCAAGTTGTTGAAAAACCTACACAATGAAGTTGTCTCGAATTCAATAACTGACATCGTTAAAAGCTAGCTAGTCAAAGAATGATCTTAATACGAGTTCGTCGATGATTAAGCTAGCTTTAGGTTTAGATGCTCCTATGAAAATCCGGATTTGCTTATAGAACAGTCAGCGAAAAAACTTTTAAAATCAAAATTTACCGTTTATGATGTTTTACAAAGACAAATATCAAGAACTTGTTTTCAACAAAAAAACCAATGAGCCGCCTCAAGAAAACAAACGTAACTGATAATGATCAAATTATCCAAAGTTTGAAAATAAGTCGCTGAAAACATAAGCCACTACCAGCAGTTAACTTCAGGTTTCCATGTTTATGATTCTGTGTCGTATTCAAAAAAGCCTCACTAATAATTTTGACGTTAGAGCAAAACGAAAAACGGGTGTCTAATGTAAATTGTGTTCAAACTTTGAGTAGAGGCGTGTTGTATCTTCGTGAGGTAATTATTGATACTTAGAAAAAGCAAAAAAATGAAACCTGGTCATGAGAAAAATCTGAAACAACCATAATCGACCATAACTCAAAATCAGAGGGATGAAAATTTCACATTATGGGGTTGTTTTTCATTTCGACTGTATCAATAGTTTCTATTCTACAATGAACACCAGTAATAAACAGAAAAAAATCACTCAATTTTCTGCTCCCTAGTGTGGACAGGCTTAACCCCCCACCCCCTCCAAAAACGACGTTTGTTTTTTCATAAAGAAAATGCCGCGCCCCATACTGCAATTGTGACAAAAAATATTTACGAGAAGATTTTTCGAATAGCCCCCTATAGCCCTGACCTAAACCCTATTGAAAAGGTTTGGTAAAGGTTCAAGAAAAACTGGCTTTACATCCACCAGAACTGCAGATACAACCCAAAGATTTCGAAAACAATGGTTTTCTTTGATAGAAAAGTACGCAGAAAATCTTGCCCTAAGTGTGCCTAGCAGACTTCGGAGTGCGATTACCCGCCGTGGTTACAGGTTCCGAGCTAAAATTCTGCTTTATAAAAAAAAATCTGCTATATAAACGTTCGTCGTTTAATTCTTTTTTTTTTCGTGAATGTCTAGACAATTGGCCTTTTTAACTAATTCTGACGCCTTAATTAATTCATTTTTTTCGTGACTATCTAGACAATTACTATTTTAAATTAATTTTAACGCAAACAGTCCAAACTTTTGCAAGCAACCTGTTTATCTGATTTTGCCAGCAACCTGTTTGTCTGATTTTTTTAAAAGCAAGAAACTGTTAGCGATGAATATTTTTGTATGTCGAGCTTTTCAGAAAATGAAACTTTAATTATCCAAATTATTATTTCAATAAATTCAAGTTGTTGATAAAAACAACATTTTTCCAGAAAAAAGTCGAACTAAACAAAGATAGCAGGTTACTGTGCAAGTAGCACAGAATGTTCCGACCATAATCTATAGAAAAACTCGGGTTAGAACATTTTTCTTCCAAATAAGTGTAGTGTTTTCTAGCTCTGCTTGCTTAAAATTAAATGTTAACGTCTTCAATTAGGCATAATTAAGCTGTTGTAAGCCTGCTCGCTTACTTTATTCGCTCGGACGAAAAATCAAAACTTTCAAACCGGTTTTTCTCGACACTGGGAATTTTTTAATGTGGTTCGAATCACGACTGAAAGCGCTTTAATATGATATATCACTCACCCCAGTCCGATGATTATTTATGATACCTGATTTTGCGTGAAAAATACAAAGAAAAAAACTAAAACACACCCGAATACTAAATTCCTCCCCATTTTCAATGGTCGGAACATTAACAAAATATTTGAGTGCCTTGATAGTTGTGAACAATTGGCACAAAAATACGGTGGAGCACGCGTTTCAAAGCATAACACGAACAAACAAATCGAAAAGATTTTGAATTTATCTTTTTAAAGAATAAAGGTATAAAATAACGACTGGGGTTAAGAAAACTTTAAAGGAATTTTCAAAAATCTTATTTCTCAGCAAGCTTTCCAGAGAATGCATTCAGTTGATTTTATCCACTTCAACTGCTTCACAAAAAAAAATAAGAATCTACTCCAAGAAAACAGTTTTGAAACTTTTCGAGCGGCTTAATAGTAGCTTGAGGAGGCGGTTTAAAAAAAATGAGTTTGCCCTGAACCTAAAAAGCAAAAAACTATTCAAGCAAGGACGTTTAATCTACTGCAAGAAAGTTCTTGAAGCTTTTAATGGTTCAAAACATTTCAGTTTTTGAAGTAAATTATTTGAATGACTCGTTTTATAACATGAAACATTTCGCTTGACAGCCATAAACTTATCACTTATAACATTGAAAAAGGAAAAATTTCACTTGTTTCTACTGTTGAAGTGTCTTAAAACAAGTAGTTTATATGAAATATTTCGTGAACTTGAAACTGTTTGATATTTTTAGGTGTTTTGTAAAGCAAAATGTTAGAAGCAAGCTATTAGAATAAAAAAGCAAAGAACAAAACATCTAGACATTTCCATTTGTTTTCGATAGCTTGAAGTAAAGCGTAAACAGTTTCAGTTTTGCAAGCAACCTTTTCTAAATGATGAACTTTTTTTCAATTTTCTTTTGCTAGCTTCGAAAACTTCAGAACAAATCGAGCCAGTCACTCAAGCAAAAATGTTAATTTTCAAATCATTTGAAAGCAAGATGCGTTGAGCAAAAATATATATTTTTAAGCGAGCTCTTCGAAGAGCGCAAAATAACTTTTAAAATTACTTTAATAGCTTGAAGATGTTCGCAAAAATAGAATTTTTTTCAGGTAAGAAAGTTAAACTAACAAAATGAAAGCATTTGAAGTACCTTGATAGTTGTCAACCAATTGCAAAAACATACACGAGTTCAAATTGATTTTGTGACCAGCTTTTTAATGAGGGTGTAAAAGAACTCATGGTGTTGAGAGAGCTTAAATGGCATCATCTTTTACAGAAATCGATTTTTATCAGTTTGAATTATTTCTCGAAAAAAATCTACTCAAAGACAAAAGCATTGAAACTTTTCAAGTGGCTTGATAGTTTGAAGCGGTTTACAGAAAATAAGTTAATCGTGAAACCTTATCAACTTGAAACCTTATCAACTATCAAGCCACCATTTTATAAATTGAGCGTGCAATCTTCGATGAATTATAGACCTAAGTAATCAAAAATTCTCATATATTTCGAAACTTAACTACAATGGGTTTTCATTTTCACTATACTTGCAAGAAAAAGAAACGCCTCATTTTCACTAATCCTTTACATTTGACCCAATTCTGATGACATAATGAGTTGAAATGCTGCATGGTGAACAAATTAACAACTCAAAATACAACTTTTTCATAATGTTCATCAAAAAATCACGCATTTAGCCATGATATCTTGCAAAGCACAGTGATATCTTGCAAATCCGCGGGAAGTGTAATGGAGCCAAGGAAAGATTTGACGTGCCCGACTAGAATGCGACGGTTTTCCTAGTACCTAGTTGGAGCACTTAGTTTCAAAAATTTTTTTTTTCTTATTTACTGGGATATTTACCATGATGTAAGAAAAACTGAGCAACAATAGCAAGATATACCAGCCAAATAGTTGCACCATCAATTAACTTGAGCGCCTTAATTAGTAATACAATATTGCATCTTTAGTTTATTAGTTTTTTGATATTGTTTTTATATGATCAAATACTTGAAAAGTGGTTTCTGATGACAATATCAACAGTTATAGATTAATTATCTTCGTCGACCTCAGAAAGATATTGCAAACTACTTGACATTCAATATAATTCATTCTGCCTTAACCTAAATAAAGCTTTTTTAAGTTGAAATTCATCTGAAGCATCTGGAATATTCATGCTTTTAGCTTAAACATTGTCCCCAGCGACTTTCTGTAACATTTTCCCCAATTCTCTTGAATCGCATGTCTGTAAATTGAATTAAAAATCAAACTCTTAAAAACAGCTAACAAACATCTCTTTCATAACTGCCACTTCGATCGCTTCAACTCTTTTTAACGGTATCAGGACTATTTGCCCCAAGTCAATTGGCCCTATGCCAACTTGTCCTATACTAACTTGCCCTACATGGCAACTTGTCCTATGCCAACTTGCCCCACATGACATTTTGTCCTATGCCGCTTTATCCCATACTTAACACTTTTACTTGATTCATTGATGTTCAAGTTGAAGACCAGCAAGTGCTAATGTACACTGGACTCGTTTCGAGATAACAAAAGACTCTAATCGAAAATATTCGAAGCTGAGCCTAAAAAACCATAATTTTTGGTAATTACACGCCAAACTTTGACAATAATCCACAATTAGCGCCTTTGAAACAAAATGAAACACAGCTATTCTTTCATTTTGCTTCATTGTTTACCATTTCAACGAAACAAAGGAACGCTAATTATTTACGGACACGATTTCACAAAAAAGCAGACGACAAAAGCTAATGAGCACTGGAGATGCGCAAGATACAGTTCACACAAATGCCGCATGCTCGCCGTCACAGCAGGAGATGAACTCGTCTCAACAAAAAATGAGCACGGCCACGATGTTACACCTGGGAAAATTGAGGCAAACCAGATCATGCATCAAATAAAAAAAGAGGCCAGGCAGCAAATTGTACCTGTTAATAGTAGTATAATTGCTACTTGTCTCCAGGAAGTAACTGATGAGAAAGCTGTTCAATTATCCTTGCCCAGTCGTGCAGCAATAAACAGAACTCTTAACCGTCAGAAACAGAACTTGGTCCCGTCCTTGCCAATCATTAAAGACAGGCATTTCATAATTCCGAAGGAATATTCTGTCTCTGATAACGCGCAACCATCGAGGATCCTTCTAGATTTTGAACGAGCTGCCGTAAACGCTTTTACAAGTGCGTTTCCAGAATCTTCAATCAAAGGCTGTTACTTTCATCTCTGCCAGGCCTTTTTACGCAAAATTAACGAGCTAGGCTTAAAGAAAGCCTATGAAAACAACTGCGAGCTAAGCTTGGCACTGCGTTTAATACCCGCTCTCAGTTTTGTTCCAACTGATTTAGTGGAACAATCGTTCGAGAGCGTCATTGAGGAGATTGAGCATGTGGCGGACAGATTAGATCTTGCGCAAAGCCTGTCAGATAAAATTGACGAACTGGCCTCATACTTTCAGAGAAGTTATATAAAGGGCGAAACAATAGGGCAAAACAGCAGGCAACCGTTATTCCCTATGAGTCTTTGGAACCATTCCCAAGAAGCAGCGGAAGGCTTGATACGAACGACAAACGCCGTTGAAGGTTGGCATCTTGGAGTGACAGCCTTATTTCAAGGGAGCCACCCAAGCCTCTACACTTTCTTGAATAAGATTCAAATGGACTCAGCAAACCAGAAGTTCGACATTTTGAAGGCTATGGGGGAACACAGAATCAAGGCCGGAAGAAATATCGGGACATTCATGAAAAAATCAAAAACATTTCTAGTAATTTCAACAAAGACCATGTTGTTGACTATTTATATGCACTAGCTCATTTAACTCTTTCGTAATTTTTAAATTGTCGGCATAATTTCCACTTAATTGTCGGCATTTTCTTGCATTTTTAATTGATTTTTAAAAAATCACCACTTTTTTAACTTATAGCCATCGTACAGGGTCCAAATTTTGAGAGATGATAAAGGCCAATACTGCAATAATTTTGCTCTTTCCCTCACCCCACCCCCTAATCTGGTTAACTCAGTATAGGGGGGTTTAAGGGGCGAGGCAGTACATGCGGTTTTCCATTTCATTGATTTCATACTAAAATTTTTTGACTTCTTTAAGTTTTGAACTCTTCGACTTCTTGATTAAGAATGTTGTGCACTATTAACTATGCTATAGAAGCTTACAAAATCAGCAATCAATCTTTTGAAATATTTAACTCGACATGAAAGTTGCATTGAAATTTTGCCGCTTTCATTTTGTTCATGCATGCTTTGAACTCATTTTGATTCAGCGCATGTTTAAATGATTCCGCATTTTGTTTCAAGCTTAATTGTTCAACAAAAAAGTCTTTCATCTTTATGCCGACATTATGTACTACGAGGATATCAAAGAATATGGGGCAAGTTTCATTTTTTATTATATGGGACAAGATGGCATTGGACAAGTTGTCATCTGGGGCAAGTTGGAATCGGGCAAGTTGGGCTGGGACAAGTTGACTTGGGGCAAAATGACATGTAACCTTTTTAACTGGATTAGGCAGACTATGAAAAGAACTTACTAGAGCTCTGCGAGCAACTTTGCGCTGCTGTTGATGCCTCCGTTATTTTCTTAGCAGGTATTTTGATTCTGTACTTTTCTACAGGTCTTTTTATGTGCTTTGCACAGAGGCAAGGCCTTCCAAATACTTCGGGTTCGATTTTGTCAAACTCTTTTTTGCAGCTTACTTTGCCTGTGCCTTGTGTCTGGTGTTTCATTCGGTAAAACAAGCAACTGTAACACATTTCACATCCCTCGCATTTGTAAACGCCCGCGGGTAATTCCTGTGGTTCACCCTCCTCCCCGTCATCTTCACAACCCAACATCAAGGCGTAGTCATCTCCGTACCAAATTAACAACTCGTATCCCGGTCTGATATCTTTGTAAGTTACATAGTAAACTTCGTGATTGATGCGGACAGCTCGCAAGTTTGTTTCACTGTGGCGTCTAGCGTTATTCACATACCTAAAAGAGGCCAATCAGTTGAAAAAAAAATTACAACTAAATTTTCAAAATCAGAACCAGCGTTGCCTAATATTATCTGACAAAAATTGTTGCAAAACTGGAAGTTTATTACGCTTGAGCATCAACGATAATCAACACACCGCATCCAATTAGCAAACGAAGTATCTCTAGCATCCATAAACCCCATCGCAACATCCCACGCATAATCTCCATCCCTTGACTCCCATCGCTGATCCATATCATTACGCAGTCTCCCTTCATAGGGCCCAAACACAGTTCCCTTTTTGAGAAATACATTCGAGTATACGCCAAGTCCCGCATTTTTAATACCACTATTGCAAACAGATAGTTCACTAGGCGCTGTTAGCTTGGCTCTGTTTTGGACTGATTGAGGGACTTCCTTGTCTGGAATGTAGTTTAGCTCTATTCTGTGTAGTTCGCATATACCATCGACAGTGAAGCCGTCGCAATCAACGCAATATTGGGGATTTCTTTTCTTCTGCTTGGTTTCCTTGGGTCCTAAATAAATAAACAGCCTTACAGCGTAAATAGGAAGACAATCAGAACGTTTAGAAATTATTGTTGATGACTAATGAATGCCCTTCAATTTCAGCTAAATTATCGTATGCTTTGATTAATAAATTCATTAATACAATGAGACAATTGTAAGCTCGCCATTTGGGTATAACAATATTTTATCGAAAAGAGCCGCATTTTTAACCTGGTTTAAATAGGGCAATTAATTGAAGGTGTCTTTAACTTGAGGTCTTCACCTATTTTTAAAATTCGTGACAGTAGTCGATACCGACAGCGAATCAATATGGAAACAAAAACCCTGCGCTTGAACAAACAGAGTTCATAAACATCATTAAAAAACGCTGAGAATCAATAACCGAGCGGCAACGAAGGCGACAAAAATTGAGTCGACATTCGTTAGGCCGAAAACCAAACTGTAGTGAAAAAAATTATAGCTATCAAATTTTAAAAGTGAAAATTTTAACAACCCATCCCTCTTTAAAAAATTCACATGGATTATAAGTTGACTAAGCCGATACAACATAAGCTGAACACGTTCAACCGAAAAAACATATTCAAAAACAGAGTTGAAATTTTCACAAACTACAGAACAACGCTCAATTATAGTAAAAAAAACTGTCTGAATAAAGAAAACTTGAGAAGCAACTCCTTAAAAAGCGTACCACATAATTGCTTTGTTAAAAAACAGAAAATCAACTGACACAAATTAGGAAGAAAAAAGCGCAAACTTCAATAAATATATTTGAAAAAACTAATTACTATCTATTAAGATCTAAAAGATAGTTTTATTTGAAACTTCGGGAATTTAAGCTTGTGAGTTTGTACCTTTTGCACATAAAAAACACAATAACTTTTTTGAGAATGTTTGTTAAATTTATCCCCCATACGCTATGTAAAGAACAAAGTGATCGATTTCGCATTAAGCTAAGTAATCAATAGACCAAATAGCATGCCTCAATCAATTTGGAACGACTTCTGAAGCGGAATGAATCTCCGCTTACGAATTAGCACGAAATATATCGCGCGTTAAATATCTATCCTAAATTGGCAACCTTTAAGCCCCCATAACTTAACAAAAAATGATCGCATGTAAAATATAATTTTAAATCTGAGCTGAGGACAGCAATAACCTTCGAATGATTTTTGAAAATTCCGTCAAAAATTGCTGAAGAAAAAGCATAAAACAGCAATACTTTTCCAATTAGTTTTAAAAACTCCGTCAAAAATTGCGAGAGAAAAAAACCACCCAGAGCACAAATGTTCCGTCACTTTCATCGAAAGTCGGAACAATAAAGAGCATATTTCAAGAAAAACAAAATTTAGCAGATAGCATGCCATAAATAGGACTTTCTAATAAGTTTTCAAACATTTTATTTCAGTAGAGCTTTTTTTGCTACAACAGTGGCAAAAAAGCCTATTGAAAATTTTTATGGTTTGATCAGTGTTAAGAGTAACAAGACTGCTCGTATAAGGGCGAAGCCCTGAATATTCCCACTGCCTTTTGAGGTTTATGGAGCAGTTATAACAAAAAAAAATAAATGTAATAAAATAAAATGAAAAACTTTTTTTTACAAAATTTGAATTTTTTTTTTAATGAAAAACATCTTCCCAGACGCCATATAGAGTACAAAAGGATAGATTTCGCTCCTTGTAACAACTCAATTATGGCAAATAAGCTTCTTTCAACCAATTTGGAACGATTTCTAAGACGGATTAAATATCCGCTTACGCGTTAATATAGCGCGAAATATTAATTGTCCCAAATTGGCCAAAATGGCAATCTTTAAACCCCCATAACTTTACGGAAAATGGCCACATGTGAAATATCTTTTCAAATTTAAGCTCAGGGCAACAATAGCTTTCGAATGATATAAAAAATATTTGTCAAAAATGGCTAGTTAAAAAGTCAAAATTTGTCTGAAGAAAAAAAACCCACCCCGAGCACAAATATTCCGTTACTTTCGTATCGAAATTCGGAACAATAACATATTAACAAAGAGGTCACGAGATTAATCGGCAAAACTTTAAACGTAACTATAGAAAAATTCTCGGCTTCTTGTAAACCCAATCTAAGGTAAACTGTATGAAACTCTGTGCTAAATTGGATTCGCAAACCGATTAAATCTTCGTGAATTTCTTCCAGAAGCGAGTAGGGAATGGCATTGTCTCTACACGTCCGTCTGGGCCTTGATGTGGTCTCAACTGGAGTCATATCTTGATTAATTAATTCATTTAAGCTAAACTGTGCAACATCAAACTCGTCAAAACCCACGTTCTTTTTAGCTCTTCGCTTACTCATTCCTAGAGATCTTGATTTAGGCTGAAATTTAAACTTCAAATTGATGTCTCGACACAGAAAAGTTAAGTAATTTTTTAGAGCAGTTGGAATCACGACTGAATAAGCTTCAATATGATATATCGATCGACTCTGATAAGTATTTGTGGTGTAGAACTTTGCGTAGAAAAGAAATTAGAATAAAACTGTAACACTCCCGAAGACAAATTTCAGGAACATACAATATATATAGCGTCTGATCTCAAACTATTTCTTACATAAAAATTTTAATGTGCCGAAAAAATAGTCAACAATTTTAATCCCAAATTACAATTTTCACTTAACGCACTTCAATCGTGGAATTTTGCAACTTGTGACAATATTTATTGTCGAAGGTGTTAAATATTAAAAAAACTATCTCTTATAGTGTATCGCTTACTTATTACACAGATATGTAACTCTCCTCTGAAGAGCTGTTCTTTACTTCCCTTTCTCAAACGCAAAAGCAACCGATTATCCAAATAAAAACAAGGATAGCTGGTTACTGTGGAAGTAGCACAGAATGTTCCGACCATAGTCATTGGAAAATTAAAGTCGTTTTTTTTCTGCGTGGTGTGATAAAAAAAGATCCGAACGAAAAAAAACGGAACTTGGCCATATTCAACAGTCATAGGAAATTAGGTCAATTGGAAAATATTTCATAAAGAAAAATCATTAGAAAAAAAAGAAAAAAATTGTTTAAAAAATTCAAAGGTTTCAAGTTTCAAACATTTTTTCAATTTTTTTGAAGAAACTCTTTGAATATTGAATGCCAAATTGACTCCAAAAACTCCAAATAAAAAATAAGTCAATTGGAAAACATTTCATAAAGAAAAATCAGTAGAAAAAAAAAGAAAAAAATTGCTAAAAAAATTCAAAGGTTTCAAGTTTCAAACATTTTTTCAATTTTTTTGAAGAAACTCTTTGAATATTGAATGCCAAATTGACTCTTAAAACTCCAAATAAAAAATAGGTCAATTGGAAAACATTTCATAAAGAAAAATCAGTAGAAAAAAATGTTAAAAAAATTCAAAGGTTTCAAGTTTCAAACATTTTTTCAATTTTTTTTGAAGAAACTCTTTGAATATTGAATGCCAAATTGACGCTAAAAACTCCAAAAATTAATTTTATTCAAGTAAAACTAAGTTTTCACGGATTAAATTAAGCATAAATAAGCTATAGTAAGCCTGCTAAGAAACTAAGAAACACCCGAATACAAAGTTCATCCATATTTTTAAAATAATCGGAACAACAAGGTGATTATTCAAAGCCTATTTGGAATAAGTTTTTGGGCTCAATTTCATCAAAATTTTTTGAAATGGTTGACTCTGAATTCGAGACTTTTTAAAAGCTAATAAATTTGTTAATAATAATATTCAAAGATTAAATTACCTTTGCGAATGGGTGATTGGATGACTTACTGCCATCCATCGGGAGCAGAAATGACTGATTGCTCCCCTCTTCTAAAACGAAGGGCCGATTACACAATTCATCTCCAGCAGAACTCTTTGCAATTAATGTCTCTTCGTGAAATTAAACCCTTCTCGATGACTGCCACGTATCTTACAGTCACTTAGAAAGATAAGTGAAACGAGATATCCCAGACAGACTGGATAGCCTTTGATAGTATCTGTGAGTCACAAAAACTCCAATTATAATTAACACTAAGAATAATTACTTCTGTGGAACACCTCTTGCAACTAACCTCAACGTCTGATTGAACTTCATTAAACAAGTAGAGTAACTTTAATTTTCGAAACAAACTAAAGCATTGAGTCTCATGCTTTTCATTTTATAGTCAGCCGGCCTAGTTTCCGGTTGCATGAAGTTCTTAAGCAGGGGCAAAACAGCAGTTCGCCGTGATGAGCTGTAAGCTCGTATATTGGTCCTTTCCCTCGTAGATAAATGATCTTACTAAGATTTTTTTATCTAGATTTCCAGATTTGGCTCCAATAAAATTGACATAGTCATTTTTAGAGTAATTTAAAAAATGTGGTCTTATTCCGTCTTAATTTGATTTGGAGTTTTCTTCCGTCCATTGAGTTTTCACTTTTCTCACGATTATTGCTGACTCATTTTTTTGGAAAAAATGATTCTATCCAGTAGCGGATTTAGAGGATCTAAACTGACAAGGTTCTCTGTTATACTATTTTGATATATCCCTTTTTGGAGTAAATTTTTCTAAAGGCGCTTAAAACCCCAATATATAATAATTTTCAGGAGGGAGCGCGCGCCGAAAAACGCAATTTTTTTAGTCAACAATTTCCAAATAATTTCAAGACACGCTTTTTTGGGCCTGTTTTTCGAAGCTTTGCTGGCGGCGCAGAAAATATGGTCAAAAACGAAAGTTTTTATAACGTTATGGGAGAGCTCAGAAAATCACTTTGGTCGACCTATGAAAAAGGTCGAATAAAAGGTCGACCTAGAAAAAAAGGCCGCAGTCTAGTTTTTGGAATTTATTGTGTGAAAAACATATACTCCTGCAATTTTGGTTCAGTAACCATCGGTAATATTATCATGGTTCCCGCACATTAGGATCAATTCTGAAAAGTATAATGGTAAAACCGAGCCAAACATTTTCTTGCACAAAAAATTTGGCAAAGTTTTACTTCTTTGATCCAGACGACAATTTTTTTTCGTAGATAAAACAGTTTTTGTTATTTTGATCTCTCAATATTATTTGGAGGCATTATTTTCTTAAACTTGGGGTATAAATTATATGGTCTAAAATTCCATTGGGGTCAAAAAATTCTTGTGCGGGTAGGGTCTATGAAAAAGCCAATTTATTTGCGGGGGGTCCCGACAATTGAGCAGTGCAGAGTAACTTGGAAACAGACTGCAAAAATTGTATAAATTAGGTTTGAACGAAGATCTCTTAAGAAAGCTTAAAAAATCAAATGCCAGGTTGCAGTAGCCTTGTTAAGCAAAAAAATCAACAAAATTCAATTTCAAATAATATATATTGTTTAACAAAAAATATATAACAAATTGATTTCAGGTCTAGTTACGACCTTCTGTTAAACAGGAACCCAAAAAACACTGAAAAAAACCTGAATTAAAACAAAACAAATATTATCCTAAATACGAAAGCCCTGTTTCAGTGCAAGCAGCAGAATGTTTCCAAAAGGCATGAAGAAAAACGGCCAAATAAGTTTTCGCTTTTAGCATCGACATCTACTGTTGTTCTTTTTTTTTCAGGAAAAAACGATTGAATTAGTTTGAAAAACTGCAAAATTTGATTTCATGATAGCTAATATAATGTACAATAGCGGAACAATTAACAATGTCTTTTATCTTGTCTTTAGCCCATTTCGTGTCATTTTGTCTCAAAAACGACCAATTTTTCTCGACACATTGAATCTTTTTCAAAATTTGTGGGATCCAAATGAATACCAACAGGGTTTTCATATGGTACCCGACTTGACCCCCAAGAAGATTTCCTCAAGGCACTTAAAATTGGGCGAAAAAGAGACAACCTACTCCTTGTGCCATTTAATATAAAAATCGGAGGAAAAATCAGACCAATTTTTCTCGACTATGAAATTTCTGATTATTTTTGGGAAAAAAGACACAACCAACAGACTTTAATTAGGATACAAAACTTGAATCCTTCTAAGATTTCCTTGAGAAATCTAAAACTGGGATACAGAACACACCCAACACCATTCAGAAGGTGCCTATTTCAGATGCCTCAGTAAACTATCGCAGGGGTCAAAAGTTGTATCATTCTCAGGAAACGTCAAGTGCTACGCGCAAGGCAACCTGCTTTTATTGCTTAGTTTAATTTTTACTTCTTTCATGACTCAGGTTTCGTTCTGCTTTTGTATTAGTTTCAGGAAAGTTCAGTCGTTCATCGGAAAATTTCAAAACATCTAGAATAACGGGTGAAATTCAGACCAAACTTTCTCGACAGAAACTTTCTTCATTGAATTTTCATTGGAATCCAAATCACGACCATTAGGGCTTTTTTATGATACCACACTTACCTGCAGAAGATATTATTGACGCCATAAAAACGAACGAAAAAAAAACACTACGCCCTAGTGACTTAAAATAACGCAAAAAAAAAAAACAGAAATGTGAATAAAACTTCCATCAGAATTATTTTGCTTTAAAAAAATCAGAACTCAACCTCAAATCAGCAGAAAGCTCTCATTCTTCATTCAGTACTTGAAGCAAAGCCCGAACCATATTGAACAAAAAATGTTACATATTACCTACAAACAACGTACTGTCAGCAGATACTGGAAAAAATTACTTTTTGCAACAATAATTTCCAAAAAAAATAATTTTTTTTTCAGCGTTATCTATTATATATTGAAATGCGGGCTGCACTATCTCGCCACGTTAAAGCTTTTTCAATTTATTATTATGTTTCACGAAAGAATTTTTTCACGTTTCAGCTATACCGTATATTGCAAAATTTAAGAACTTTTTTCAATTCTCCAGTTAAAATTCAGTGCTTATTTTGCCAATCTGAGTGCAATTGATTGTTGTCAGAGTACTCTCAATCTTGCCTCCAATATAAATAATAAATTCATTTTAATTTTTCAGAATCTTGCCTCTAAATATAAATAATAAATTCATTTTAATTTTTCAGAAAACTTGGAACAAAAAAATTATTTCAAGTTGAATTTCCCAACCTGGTAGTTGGGCACTCTGGGGTTACTCTCAGGAGTTCAAAACTGGAAGTCTTGCGTTTAAAGGCGACTGCTCAAATGCTCTTTGTTTTACGAGATGTGACGTTTGGTATGTCTTTTCTTAAAAATTGTTCCAAGCATTGAGATATAAAAAATTTCACAAAATTTGAAATTCCATCTCTAGAAAGAGAATCTATCAAGTGTACTCCCAGGAATTGCAAATTTTTCTTCCAAATATGACTAATCAAATATGACTAATCCTTGTAGTTTTTGAGATGACGTTTTTAGTGATTTTTTCAAAAAATTTCAGAAAATTTAATTTGCTTTTCAAAAGGTGAAGTTCCT